CTTTGTCGTCTGGTTCCCCCTACACCTCGCCTGACTTGTCGAGCGCGAGTGCTAAAAAAAAAAAATATATATATATATATACACATGTATATATATATATATACACACATATATATATATACACATGCATGCATCTACGCATATATGTGTGTGTGTGGCATATTGTGGAGAGAGGTGACCGCTCCTTGAGCAACTTCCTGCGCAGCGTGCAGCTGCCGAGACTTGCGAGATCCTCGGATGATCGGTGCCTGTCCATGCACGAAAGCCCGGTTTATTGGAGGAGCCCTGCTCTTGTCACTGAGGCATCCAGTTTGGTGGAGTTGAGCTTAAGTGGCTGCTCCAGAGCAGGACCCCAAAGTCTCGCATGCATCTGGGACGGAGACAAGCTAAGCCGTTGGTTACCGGTTAAACAGCCAGAACATGCCAGAACTATTCAGGCATCATCTCTCTCGTCAGTGACGCTTCCTACATTGAGCGGCTGGCCACGCTCTTAGTTCATAGAACAGGCTTTGCGTCTGAGGTTGATCTCCGATGTAGCATGCGCATCTTAGGATCTGAGCCAAGTGGAGGTGAACCACCGCTATCAGCTGCCACTCTGTGAAGCAATCAGCGAGCGACAGACCCTGAACTATGCAGCTTGACTGGTTTGGGAGCACCGTGAATAATCGGTGCTATGCAGAGTGGCTTCATGCATGTATGAGCCCGAGCCTTTCATGCGGTTCTAGCCAACGCCTGATGAAAGTTTTCGTGTGAAGCCGAACCGAAGGACTGCCCTGCGAGCAGATCTTGGCACCTGAGGTAAATCTCAGCAGAACGTCGATGGGGCCTTTAGCCTGCATCAGTTCCAAGCGAGGTCCGCTTCTTTATTGGAGGTTGCGCACGCCACCCCGCTGGATAGTCATGTGTTCGCAGTAAGCTTGTCTTGGCTGAGGAGTGGACCCATCGACCATGGATGCCAGTGCATCGCGACGCTCCTTCAGGGCCATGCTCCTCGCCCAATGGCGGGGCCGATTAGGCTTAGGCCACTGCTCGGAGAGTTGAGAGGCGAGACTACCGAGAGGCCTGTCGGAAAAGTAGGGCTAAGTAGGGTTCACAAGAAACCGAGCCCATGTTTCGGAAGCCTCTGCACGAGGAAGGCATGGATTAGGCGAACATGCAAAGTGCAGCGTAAACAGCGCAGGGGATGTAACCTCCATCTGTAGCTGGCCGAAGCATGGCTATGGTAGTTTGAGGGCATAGAAGAGAACCGGCCTGCGCGGCCTCAATGATCAGAGTTTGTTGGGCATCTGGCGCCGCTCCCTTGTCTTAGGTGCAAGAGCTCGATCTGAGCTGGAACCACATGTCCTCGCAGCTATTCCAGTGCTTGGGTGAGAACATTGCGAGGCAAGCGACGGCAACTTGTCAGATCAACCTTAAGTTTGAGCTCGAGAGCCCACCTGCATGAAGTGGCACAGCCACTGTTTTCAAGTCCCAGGTGAAGAAGCTCAATGTCTGCAACTGCTCTGGTGCTGGGATTGACCATCTATCCGTGCCGGCATCTCGCTGCAGATCGGCTCCTCCCTGCTCAGAGCTTCGCCCGGGGGGGGGGGGGGGGGNNGGGGGAGAATTTTTGGGGTGGGGGCCGTAAGATGGTGAAGACTCAGTAAACTTTTGAAAAGGAATGTAAAGGATCCAACTTGTGGGGCTATGGAGGTAAGCGCCGAGGTGTGCAAGTGAGGTTGCGGCAGCTTTGTGTAGCTGACTCCATCGTGGAGGAACCCACCCTGCAGTGCTGCCGGACCATACGCATCCTCAAACCAAAGCCCGGAAGCAAACCTAAAGCCACCAATGTTCGACCCTCCACCCCGACTACTAAACAAGCGGCATGTGTGGCATCGTGCGTGATGTCGATTACAGTCGAGGTTGTGCTATTGAGTGGCAAGAGAACTACTGCGCAAGCTGGACTGAACGACGAAGTGGAAGGATTAAACAGACATGTGCAGATTGAACTTGGAGTCCGCAAATGATCGTGTTGATAGTGAGAGAAAGCCTCCGACGGCCTATCAAACCGGGACACCAACGACATTTCGAAGTGCCAGCGCCAGATTCCATATCCCTAGTTCTATGCAAGGTAAACTTCTTCGTGGAGCAGCTGCGGAAGGATAACACATTGACTTCCCTCGACCTTTCTATGAGCAGTGACTTTGAGTAAACAGTGCCTGAATTCACAAACATGGTTGGGTGACTTCTGCTTCTGCTTAAGGAATGAACTTCCGTTCGGCGCTTATACTGGAGGATGCGCTGCAGAATCATAAGCTGCTCGGCCCGGTCAGCAAGACACGCCTAGTCAAACGACCGTGGAAATCGAAAGTAGGACAGCACTGAATAGTAGGATTAGGCAAGTATCCCGACTTCTACAGGCAGCTCAAGCACTTGTACTTGGCCGACAATCCTTTGGGACCTCGTGGTTTGAGGCAGGAGGCTGTTGCGGGCCATTCTCAAGAGGTACTGTGCATTCCGTGTGCACTGAGTGAGCAGCACGGCCGTAGATGTTGCAAGTTGATGGGACTTCGGCTTTGGTTCATGCGAAAGTTGCATGTCCGAATGCTGTCACGGGCACGGCAGTACGGTCCAACCTGTCAGGTCAGTGCTGAGAACGATCGCATCAACGACGATGCTTGGCCGAAGTTCGAGGACGTATCCATTCCATCTTCCTGTTCTCACGAAGTTGTCTCGTTTTGCAGCCGAGGAATGCCTTGAAGTTCTTTGACACATCTGGATGTTACGGGGGTGAGGTGAGGGCATTGGGGCGGATTTTTGGGTAGTGGAGGGGTCGAGGGAGGTTTGGCCCTTGGTCTTTCTGAGCAGGTGCCAGCTGATCACGATCGCGAGGTCTTTGCGATGAGACGCTCATTTGCAGATGGGGTGCCCATGGCTCGCGAAGACATGGAACATTGCAAGCCGAGGCAACCTTCCTGGTGCGGGCTCCTACCATCTGCAGCTGCATCGACCGCACCACGGCAGTTGAGGGAAGCCCAACGCCATGAAGAGTCGTCTTGCAGAGATGACCTCGCCCCAGGTATCACCGATCCTTGCTTCGCATGCTGTGCAAGTCGGCCGAAGGATTTCGACTAGCTCCTTCAGAAGTTCTGCTCGTTGCAACTCGCATGACTGCTGGTGGGCTGCCGCCAAGACACCCTCGGTCCTATCTGCAATCCGGTCTGTCTTAGGTTAGCTCGTCGGATGACTTCGTCCACGGCACAAAGAAAGGAGGCTTGAGTGTCATTGCCACCAGCCACGTGAGAGTAATTGTACTCTTTATAGAAGGGCCGTGAACTCCAGGACTTTGGGAAGTACCAAACAGTGGCGAGGTCACGCTCAGCTTCGATCTGGCCGCTCGCAATCTGTAAGTCTTCGCTCCTCTTATCCTTTTTTTTGAACTTGTTGCTTCGAAATTCGGGCGAGGTCCGGGCAGCTGGATGCTTTTATTGGACATGCCTTCGGGGCTTTGGGGTTGAACCTGACTCAGTTGCTCCAAGGAACGTTGCTTCGAGACTCCGTTGTTCAAGGACGTGGACTCAGACTTTGGCCTGGTCATCAACAGCCACTTGCCCGAACCTGACATGCAACGGATGTGAGCCGCATATAGCGCTTTGGCGAGCCTCCAAGACTTCAGCCCATTGCATTCTGCAGTAGCTGTCGCACAGGATTTTATAGCTTGTCTCGCTTCCACCTTGACTCGAGCAAGGCACGGCTGAAGGATGCACTTGTTAACATGTTCTGCATTCCAAAACATCTAGGGTCATGCTGCTTGCAGACATTTCGTCATATCGGAGGCAGTGGCTGTGTTTGGCCGGTTCGTCGAGCTGGATGGCTTCCAACATTCGCAAGCATGCCTTCTCAAGGCCATCTCTGTCTTTCAGGCATAAAGCCTTCAATCCTGCCATGGCGCGTCGCCAGGCACTGAGTTTCGATTTTGTTCTGACCATCTCACACCTGAAAGTCTTGGCAGAGCTGGATCCTCAGAGTCCCAAGAGTTCAGAGCCTCCGGGCCAATAGGAATGCTGCTGAGGACCTCGCAGCTCTTCAGGGCACCTTGCATCATGAATTTGCTTCCCTCGGTTCTTTGTGAACCAGGCTCGCGGCTTTTCTGCAATCAAGATCTGTGTGTCAGAGCACTTTTTCATGGTTTGCTCATCAGCTGAGCAGTGGCAGTGGCAGGGGCGAGATCCATGGTACCTTGCCAGCTCCCTTGACCACGACAGAAACTGAGGTACTACGTCGCGCAGGGAATGTATGCGACAACGCTGGACTGCGTCACATGCCGGCTGAAGCTCAAACAGCACGCCGCCTCAGATGCACAGTGGATGAACGCAGCACTGCAGAGTCGCCCTACACCCCGGCTCGAAGTGCGCCTACGATGGCTACCCTGAGGCTTCTCAGCTTCACGGTTCGAAATCCAACTGGACACTACGAGTTGGCCTTGGACCTTTGCTTGCACGTTAGTGTGGCAGGAGCATCTGAATGGCGAGAAGAATCATGAGAATAATGAGAAAACGCAGCAGAAGTTGTCGTCGTGGTGGTGGTGGTGGTGGTGGTAGCAGTGGCAATAGCAGGTAGCAGCAGCAGCGCTCAGCAGCAGTAGTAGACGTGATAAAAACAGTATGTAAATTTAGTCTGCAAGTACTATGCAAAAGTAGTTACTGTTTTCGGGACAGCCTTTGCCATCGCCTCACAGGACAATCGAGCAGACTTTGCGGTCGCCGAGCAGCTGGCTCTTCTCGACAAGTGGGAAAGCCGCATGCTGCCATTTAGCAGGGGGCTGCCTTTCTGTTGGATTGGTGCCCGTGTTAGCCTGTGTTCGCTTGATGCCTGACACAGTCATGCTTCGCTGCTTCAGAGCACTGCATGTTGACTGTGGAATGCTCTAAGTTATGATGGACAAGCGGCTTCTGGGCCGCAGCTGTGCGACTTTGATATGTGCAGCTTGAGCTCGTGCAGACTGAGGCTGGGGCGAGAAGATGTATCAGCCGAGTGCAACCGATCTCATGCACGGAATGCATTCTACCAAGGGAAACCAATTCTGCAGCCGGGCTAGAAAGTGTACCTTTCTTGGGTTGCTACCAGTGCCGACAGTTTCGCAACTACTAATTTACGGGATCTCGTAATCGCCCATATAGGCATAATACACGCAACGCATTTGTTCGAATGGTTACGCCCGTGATTTTTCGCCTTTTGAAACCCATAATGAGGCGTTTACAAGCCCTCATCGAGTTCTTAAGGCGGCTACGTTACGGCATCTGCACCCGCGAGTCCTGTTGAGCACTGAACTGAGGACGTCCTCAATGGCTTTTGCCGATTGGAAGCGCCCCGGCCACGACAAGCTCGAGCTGCTCGCCTCGCAGTACCCTGTATATCATATTATACTATACTATACTATACTACATCATATCATATTAGATTCTGTTAAAAGCCCTCTCTGGTTCCTCGAATAGTCAGGTTGGACTACGTCAGCTCCCAAGGGCCGCCAAAAGGGGCCCAGGCCATCACATGGCCCTCCTTCTGCCAGATCTTGGAGGCTGCTCCCAGGTCGCAGTGATAAGAATGAATGTAACTTACGATGGTCATGACAATGAAAGAAAGAAGCATCGCCATAATTATAACCCATGGCGATAGTACTAGCATTCATTTTTCAACATTTTCACAATCACCAGTACCTTCATCATCATTAAAGCTCCCATGATTGCAAGATGGATTGGATTTGCCCTGTGCCATGTGCATGCAGCAGCTTGGGATAGCTGAGGTACATCAACCCGCGTGCTCTTTGGCTGCGACCAAAACCCTAAACCATCATCCCAAAACCCAAACCACACTGGTCTTGCCTGCATTGTCCGAGTCGGGAGAGTCCAAAAAAAGGTCTTGTCAGTAGACCAAAATAGGGGTTGGGTTTGGTTTTAGGATCAGTTAGTGGATTTTTGAGGGGACTGCAGGCATTGCGGTCATGATCGTGGGTTTGGACTTTGCTCTGGCCTTTATCATACTCGCACCATAGTAAGAATCATAATCATATCACAAGAATTCATTTATATTACATTGTGCCGGAAATTTAGAACAATTCTTTTGCGGAACCGTCTTGGCAATCTTGGTCATCTTGCCCCGCTTGCTTGTCGACTAGTTTACCTTTTAGACCAAGATTGACCAAGCTTGTTGGCAATCTTGGCCCTCCCGCCCCCCCCAAGTGGGGCAAGATTCCAAGATTGCTTTCGCCAACTTGCTCAAGTAACTGTTCTAAATTCCCGGCACACTGTAACAGAATAACTGTTTATGAATATACTGAGAGCACATGTGGCAACCCAGGGCAGGAGCGAAGCTGGCTCTTGTCATGCATTGCCTTCTTTCCCGAGTGAGGTCTGCAGACCCGGCCCGGCTTCCCCCCGAGTGTATGCAAGCGTCAATGACGCCCTACGACCCTAACCCTAAGCCCTAAGCCCTAAACCCTAAAACCCTAAAACCCGAAACCCTTAAACCCTAATCAGCGGAGATCGAACCATGAGGAGCCTTGCCTGCGTTGGCGAGTGTGAGAGTCGAAACCCTTACTAAACCCCCGGAAGCCCCTAAAGCCCCAGGGGGCTGCTCACCCGCCTGGCCAGGTCTTACCTCTGGGCTGCGGGCATAGACTCGGAGAGCTCAGTATGATAATACGAAGAAAAACACGAACATAGTTAAAGTAAGAAAAGCAACAAATGTACTTATTAGAACCATCATTCTGATTCTTACTGTTATTACTGTTATATTGTTTCCCATCAGCTATCATCATGTCTACATGAGCCATTACTATTCCTATATTGCTATGCAAGTATTGCAACCATTTGCCTTCGCAGCTGAGGTATGGCACACGTCAAGGTGGCCGCCCTGCGGAGCCAGGCGCAGAGCTTCTGCATCGAGTCCAGGCCCGGCTTTGCTTAAATTTTGTGTTACAATATAGCATAACATGATAGAACATCATAGAATATAAGAAAAGATCATATAATGAAATGCAAAAATATAATATACTATGATGTAAGACGTTATCGTGTTCGGGTCTTGTGAGGATACAGGGTATTTTGGGCTCAGGATACAGGGTTTAGGGTGTATAGATTCGCAGCAGGCCAGTTGCAAAAGGGGTTATAGGTTTTTTGGAATTTAGGGTTCAGGGTTTGTGATTTATGTTAGGTTTTTGTAAAGATTTAGGGTGTAGGAGTTTAGGGTTCAGGGTTTAGGGTTTATGGGATTCAGGGGCGTATGGTTCAGGAAGTTGGGTTTCCGCGAAAGTGGATGAACACGAGCTTGAGTCCAGCTGTGAACCCAACAAACCTGATGCCACAAAGAGGACAGTTCCAGGGCGAAGTAGGAATAGCTAAGGGTTCAGGATGTTTAGGGTTCAGGGAGTCGGGGATTGTTCGATTAGATTCAGGTTCAGGTTGTGAACAATGCAAGGCAGCTTCGCGTGCTGGTGGGCACGTTTTCGGAGCCAGCTGACAGAATCGAGATGTTCGTTCTCTTCTTCAACCGAGTCGTTGCACCTTCTCCCAACAATCAGTCCATGATGTTTCTATCACTTTGACTGTGGGCGACTACCATACGTGAATGCATGCGAATGCTGTTTCCAAGGATCCACAGAACGCGAAGATGTACAAAGCTCAACTCGAAGACTTCTCAGACGTGATGGCCTTGAGACGCAGACTCGGCTTTGCGAGAACATTTCCATACATTCAACCGGAGTTCGACCAATTCCAGTTGGACCTGCGTTTGCACGACGAGCGTGTGTGCATGACTGCATTGCTGGCACTTTCAGCTCGTGAGAACGCCGGGAACATCCGCCACCCTGTGTACCTCGGCCAACTCAGCCCAAACACCGGGCTCACGCGAGTCGTGAGAGTGGGAACTGGGCCTAAACCCTAAATCCGGTGTCTGTGTGTAATTGTGTGTGTGTGTATATATATATACATACATACATACACACATAACTATAATGTCAAAGCCCTCTTCAGGTACGTTTTGCCAGACGGGACTGTTGATCCGCTGAAGATGGGCATTCCTCGCAGCTGGGAGTCTTGGCTCAGCTCTGGGCCTTTCCTCACACCTTCCTGACAGCGCACCTTATTGCAGCGTGCGGAGTACCCCAGAGTACCCTTCTAGTATTCTAGCAACTAGTACGTTTTGTATTTTTAAAAGAACCGTTATGGTAACCCGCAAAAGAGCCCCCTGAACCCTTATGCTGTAGTGACCCGCGATAAACTGAATTACAGGAAGTTTTGTGTATCAGCGGTGGCTGAGGAATTCCTGGACCGCGTCCCCCAGGCGGGCCAGTTCAAGCAGCTTGGGCTTCACAGCACGCCCGGACCTTCCTTTCGTAAGGCGTGCCTTGGTAAGGTGCAGCTATGTTTGTGCTCCGGGACAGCGAAACTTCGAGCTCCGCAAGCAGTTATGCAAGACTTATCACTTTTCTGTGCCTTTGCTGATGAAAGCATGTTTTGTGCCTGTGCATGGCCGAGCACTTACACATGACATTTGCTTGAGACCGCGGCTCATCGCCCATGGCAGGATGTAAAAGAAACCGCTGTCTCATGGTGGACCAACATGATCGAGGCCCGCATCTTTCCACTGCTTCGTTCGCTCTCTTCGCTTAGTCTCGGTGTTATTTGCAACCACATATTGTGCTTACGTGATCTTTTGTTGCACAGAGTGGAAGCTAATGCCCGGGCCTAGCTCCGCAGCCGAAGAGCTTTCACAACGCAAAATCCTGCTAAACCCTACGTCCTTGTTGGCCCTTCTTCTTGCGCTCGCTGTTAACGGTGGGCACGGCGCCGGCAATGTCATATACCGTGGTGCCTTCCACGCCAACTTGTTTTTCCCTTTGGGCGCCCCGCGACCTGAAGTCGAAGTGCGATGAATCGACTGTGCCAGTGTAGGACAGGGTGTGGGATACCTTGAAAAGACCGTGGACCGCCCACAGATTCGTGGCTGCTGCTCCGCTCAGAGGGCGGCTCCCAAACGACTTCTCGGAAGTATTCTGAATGGAGACTTGGAGAGCCGAGGCCCAGACGCGGAGTATGGAGCCGACATATCACGGGTAGACAGGTAGACGAGACAATCTGGCTGTCCCTGTGCTTCTCGTGACAGAGTACACCGCAGTGAGAGCTGTGTTCGGATCATTCGCAGTCTCTGGTCTGGAAGCTATCTCGAGGCTCAAAAGACGCACGGCGGAGTCCTTTCCAAATGCACAGCAGCACAATTGTTTGGGGTGCAGCCCGATTGCTTACAAGTCGCGCAGGTGCCTTCCGAAGTGATTGACTTGGTGTTGCATCTTGGCTCAGCATAGGCAGCGTTTTCGTCAATCAGGGTTTCCTGCGGTTTCCTTTGCTTTCTGCCTTCGTGTTAGTGTTGCTCCACTCCAGGGCCCTCGACTTTCACGCTGTTTCAGCTTGTTGTCAGTTTCTCCCCGGCACTGACAAAAGCGTTGTGCAGAAAGCCAAGGGCGAAATCATGCGAACTCGAGGCCAGAAAATAGCAAGCCCAAGCATGGAGCCAACCTCACAGAGGGACCCTTACAATTGAAGCATGAATCCAAACATGGAGCAATAAAAATGCCATGCATACTTGGATGCTTTCTCATTATAAGGGCCCTTAAAGACCTTAAAGCAGGACCCAAACGCGCTGAGGAACCCCCATCCACCTGCATGATAAGAGCCGAGGATGCTGAAGGAGAGCGGCGTGGACTTGAACAAGGCCTTCGACTCGATCGACGGCTTTGACGGCAACGGCCGCTGGGCAGTAGATGCAGATGGATGGCTAGCTGGCTAGGCTGGTGGGTACGTAGATAGGTGGGTAGATAGATAGATAGATAGATAGTAGATCTTTCGATACCGTACCGGTTAGGAAGAGTTCCTCAAGGCATGTGCGACACGCCTGTCATGGCAGAGCCCCTTCTCGCCTTTCCTTCCGAGGCGAGATTGGGCTCGGGAAGCTTCAGCAGGGACTGGAAGATCTGGGCTGGCGAAGGTTCAAGAACCCCTCCTCCGACAACGAAATGAAGGTCACCTGCTTCGGCAGCATAGGAGAGTTCTGTGTTATGACTGGGCGTCTGATGCATGTGCCGGCATCGAAAGCAAGAGACCAGGAACAAATACTGGCAATCTTCCGCTGCGTCAACGTTTCTGGTCATGGAACGCTGTCCAGAAGCGACTGGAACATCCTCCAGCAGCTCACCAAGGATGCCCGTTGCTTAGTGCTGCGAGAGGAATTGTCATTGGCCCATTCTAGTGCAGCAGAGCAGGCCGAAACGTAAGTCACATCTCCACATTAGGCCCAGCGCCCCGCGGGAATCATGTCATGGGGGCTGTTTGGAAACAGCCTTTTGATGTGTTCCTTGGTGCGTGGTTGACCTATGACACAGGTTGACCACGCCATTGCGGAGTTCGTGCCGCTTGCTAACAGTTCAACAGATAGATGTTTGCCAACACACCTCATTCATCAATCCCGGAAGCCGCCTTCTCAGCCAAGGCAGTATTTGATGCGCATATATGGTTCGATGCCAGCAGCATGGGCGGCGCTGGACGGCATCTGCAATGGGGGTGTTCGAGTTTGTCAAGAGGGCATTCAGCAAGTCACAGTTTTGCAGAAAGCGGCCCAAGCCGAAAAGCAACTTCACCTGCGACTCTAGAGGTCCTCGTTTTGGGTGACCCAAAGCAGCAAACTTCTCAAACAAAAATCTATAAATGCCTTCTAAACCAAAAGCCCGATCAAAAAGCTGCTGTACGCTCCATCCATACCTCATTACACCCTGTAAATAACAGTCTATGTGTTATATTATATGAGTTATACAGACATATACAGACACGATCCAGCACAATCCCATAAAAAAAGGCCATTTAAAAGCCCTCGCAGGATGTCGATGTCCAAGAAAGCCTTGGTCGGAAGGCTTGGATCGAAGGGCTGCGGCAGCTGGGCCACTTGCCAGGCACGTGAAGCGGCGTTCCCTTGAATTTGTGTGTCGCTGCGTGTATACAAATGTCAAAACGGAATCTTACGCGAAAAACGAATGTAAGAATATGTAAACATGAAGCAGAAATGAGAAGATAAAAAGGCGCATAAATGCAAACAATTTGTATACACGTACACGTACGTAAAAACATACATACAGGTATTTGCTGGTGCGTGACAACGTGTACCTTTACGTAGATGTAACTAGACTAGATCCTATATGCAGACTTGTTATGTATGTACATGGCCGTATGAGTTCTGTATTGATGGATGGATGACGCAGGTATTCCCGATTCTGTCTTCTTTTCTGAAAAGAAACATGAATACACACGGGTGGATGGATGTACGTATGTGCATATATATGTATATACACATACATACATACATACATACATACCTACATACATATACACACACA